GTGGGCTGTGGGTGGATCTCTGCATCCCTCATGGATCCCTGTGGGCTGTGGGTAGATCTCTGCATCCCTCATGGATCCCTGTGGGCTGCAGGGCACAGCTGCTTCACCTTGGTTCTCACCATGGCCTGCAGAGCAATGTCAGCTCTGGTACCTGGGGCACCTGCTCCCCTCCTTCTCCACTGCCCTTGGTGCTGACATGTTTCCCTCACGTGTTCTCACCTCCTTCTCTGATTAGGAGCAAAAAACCTGTGACTTTGTTTGGATTTTCTTCTTAAGTATGTCATCACAGCAGCGTTACCAACCTCTCTCACTGGCTGAGCTTTGGCCAGCAGCATGTCCATCTTCAGAGCCATCAACCATTGGCTCTGCTGGACATGGTGGGAAGCTTCCAGCAGCTTCTCACAGGAGACATCTTTGTGGCCCTCCTGGTGCGAAAAACCAGGCCATGCCAAAACAAAGCAGGTACAAAAACTCATGGGTTCAGATAAGAACAGCTTAGTAGATGAAAAGAAGTAAAATGTTATAATAATAATTAAAAAAAAAAAAAAGAAAAACAAAAACAAGAAAAACAAGTGATGCACAATCCAGTTGCTTACCACCTGCTGATCAATGCCCAGTTTTTCCCTGAGAAGTGATCAGGCCCTTCTAGTCAACTCCCCCAGTTTGTGTACTCAACTTGGTGTGGAATATCCGTTTAGTCAGTGTAGGTCAGTGCTCCCTCCCAGCTTTTTGTGCAGCTCCTCATTCACACAGCATGAGATGCTGGAAAGTTCTTCATTTAAGGTAAGCACTGCTTAGCAACAAACAAAACATCAGTGTGTTATCAATTTTATACTCATACTGAATCCAAACCAGAGCACTGTATCACTTACTAAGCAGAAAATTATCTCTATCCTAGCCAAAACCAGGACACTGGAGGCATTGGATCTAAATCTTAAATATTTTTAGTACAATAGAAAGTACTTTTCTGATTATGAAGATCGAGATCAGGAAGAACTTTTATTCATGAGTGGTATAAGAAAAGTTTTTGTCTAAAGATATTTGATTTGGCACTTTGAAAAGTCCTGCTCCTAAGAGAAAGGAGATGCAAACTCCTCCTACATGGGAGCAGCCCTGGATTTTGATTCATTGAATAATGTGTTTATTTAAAGAGATGCAGCATTCCAAGGATATTTCTAAAGACCACAGTGATTGTGTCCAGGGTCTAAGTATCTTTTTCATTTGCTTTCAATAACTCTGTCTTCAAGTTGAGCTTACTTTCTTGCTAGTTCTGATCAAAGCATTTTCATGATAAACTAATTTCTTTTCATTTCACTTCTGTCTGCCAATCCAAATAACTTAAAAGTATTGCTGATAGGTGTATGATATATTTAACTTCCTTTTTTTTTCTTTTTGCCTCTCCAACAGGCCATCTGTGTAAAAGAAGAAAGAGAAAAAATGAAGCTCTTATTCATAATATTTCTCATGAATTTATTACACCAGTATGCTGGGAAATATTTGAGAAGAGATGGAAGTTCCCTGAAGTCATTTGAAGACATTAAAAATGAGATAGCTGGCTATACTAATATTACTAAGGCTATTATTGATCTTGCTGTTCATGGAAAAGCTCAGAACAGATCCTATGATAGATTAGCAGTTTTTGCTGACACCATAGGACCTAGACTCAGTGGTTCAAAAAACTTAGAGGCAGCCATCAAGTATATGTTCAGTGCCCTGCAGAAAGATGGGCTGGAAAATGTGCATCTAGAGCCTGTGAAGGTACCACACTGGGAAAGAGGAGAAGAGTTTGCAGTGATGCTGGAACCAAGGAATCACAGCATTGCTATTTTGGGACTTGGGAACAGCATTGCAACTCCTCCAGAAGGAAATCCTCCCTTTGGAAATAAAAGGGAACTGCCTTTTAACAAAAAACGGAATGGAACCCTAATAACTTCTCTCAGTAGTGAAACTGTGGTTTTCTTCTTGCTGTAATAGTCCTGCAAAACAAGGTGCTATTTTCCTGGGACTTTTCTATATGGCATGGTTGTGACTGGTGCAGTTTATATTAATACAGTTTGGTTGAACAGACTTGTAAAATTGGAGTTGATTCCTGAACTTTCCATTAAATTTATACCCTTTTTAAAACACTGTTGAACGTCATATGCAAAGATTCTGGTCCTCCATTGTGGTCAGTAGGAAAGAAGTTCTCCATGGGGTGCCAAGTTGACACATGAGATCTCCTTCTCTTCATGTGCACTAGTTTGCCAGGCTCAGCCCTTCACTCCAGTAAAAAACAAGACAGCAGGAAAAGGAGCTGAGCTTGGAGAATTCAAGCCCCTCACTAAATGTAACAGTCAGAATCTGTGTGTTGTTCCCTTCCCTGTCTCATGCTCAGCTTGGAACTTATTGTTCACATTGTTTACATGCTCACTTTGTCACTTACCTGCCACTGAACTGTGTGTTGCCTTTTAGATAATCATGTGTGATATGTTGCTCAGGAGCAAGAATAACCATTAGCTGTTCTTAACAAGATTCTGGTCTTTTAAACCCTGAAATATTAGATTGCCTACAAACAAAATTATTTATAAGATTCTCTATTTGTACTTAGTGATGTGAGGCTTTGAGGATTGTTATTTAAAGGCCAGATGAGAACCTTCTTCTGTGACTGCTCTCCATAAAAAAAAAATATACTAAATTCTAGATCACTTCAAAAGCATTTGTATTCCTTTATGAGAAAATAAATTCAGTTTAGGAAATAAAAGGTAATGTGATACTCATAATTCTTTTATGAATTGTAAATTTTTGTGATAGGGGGCTTTCTGTTGGAAATGAAACTACATATAAAACTGTTATGTTTAGAAAAAATATATAGCTCATCAAAATGCAACAAATAAAACTGGATAATTTAAACTAAGCCTGGAATAAATTATACTTGGTTTCAAAATTGCTGCTGTGAATTTTATCTGAGATAGTTCTGTCATATTGAGGTAAACACATGCCTAAAATGCAAAGCAACTAAAACCATTACTATCTGTTTGTCCCATTATATGTGCAAGGTTTAGTACTTTGATAGGAGAAAATTTAGAGCAAATTTTAAGCCTACAACTTATTTTGTATTCTTTCCAGTCCTTATTCTAAGCTTCCTAAAAAGTAAGCTAAAATTAAAAGTTCTTTTTTGGTGTTAAGCAAGTGTTGCTGAACCTGAAAAGAGAACATGCAATTTAATTTTGGCAAACATCTTTACATCCTGAAAAGTCTGGTTTTTACTTCTCTTTCTTACTTGTGTAGTTATTTCCACTTGCCTGGTTTTACTCCTAGGTTTGCCCCTTTTTTCAGTGATGTTCTGAATTTACATGTTAAAAATACTCAGGCAAATTATGTCCTTCTTTTTCATCTGTAAAGATCCTATATCTTGAAAGATGTGATTGTATTATGCAGTGCTGGTTCAAAACCCTCACATTATTCTTTCCCACAATTTCACTTTCCTCCAAGATCTGCCATGTTTCTGAAGAGATATATGTGTTGGTACTAGAAAATTTTATGGCAGTGAGATCTCTCACAAAAGAGTGGATCATTTCTCAGAATTAGTGGAATTATTTTGATTAAATTACTTACCATCTGATTCTCCTACCATTTGTGCCTGTCCTGATTTCTGCTGGTCTCCTCTCACTCTGTGCAAACTGTGCCAGGTTTTTGTGCTTGGAAGGTTGTGTGGGGTAGCTGGTCCCTGGTGAGCACTTGGCTCTTGTTCTTCTGATCACAGGACCATCCTCCTGGCTGACAGAAATGCCTCGTAAGAGCTGCTCATCATCAGCCTCTGCAGGCAAGAGAATTGGAAAGGCATGCTGTTGAGAAAAGTGCCTGTCCTAAAGCTCTCACTCATACCAAGCATGGAATAAAAAAAATATGTAGTTACATTATTAAAACCACTGCCTTATCACTTCTGAGGATTGTCACAGTGCCTTATTCTTAAGAAAAAGGGATAGGAGGCTGCCCTAAATGGCATCAGAAATAGTTGAACAATTTCCCTCATTGAGGGATTATCAGCAGTTCTGATACATCTTGTTCTAGCCATGAAGTTGTGGGGGTATGACTCTTCCTGTACTCAAAATAATGCAATTCAATATGAGATGCCTGATGCCAATTATCCTGTTGTTGAAGCACTGTTGTTACATGGGATCAAACTAGAGACCTATGCTGCTGTGCTGAGCTTTGGCAGAGGGATTTTTTAAAGGCTCGTCCGTCCTTCAGATGTTGGCTCTCTGATGATTCTTTGTGGACTGTGCAGATGATTCCTGAAGTTGTTTGCTGTTAGCTTGATAGTTAATACATATTTTAAGTCAGTGTTCCTGTCAGAATATATTTCAGACCCCTCAGTTTACAAACCACTGTCTTGATACAGCCCAAACAGATCCCTTCTTTAACACTACTGATGCCTTTTAGAGACAGAGTTGGGGTTCTTTTCTTTTAAGGTCTAGGGATGGGGTTAAGATGAGAAGGGCTTACTCCCCCATCCCGGCAGGACGTACAGGAGACCATTTCTTGCTTTTTCATCTTTTCATTTATGTCCTGTATTCCTCTCTTCCCATGATTTGGCCCCAGGCCTGTGACCTGAGAAGCTAAGAAAATAGGAGACATTGGCAGAAGCTTAAGACTTAGTGCTGGACTTGGTGGCCTTTGGTTCTCTCAGAGCCCCTCCTGAAGCTCAACACCCCAAGCAAGTGCTCTGGAGGGCTCTTCATTAACATGGCAATAGCCTAACAGCAATTAGAAACCAGGTGTCCTGGGGTGACTTTATGATGCTTGTATCCCCAACTGTCTGTTCTGTTTGTGCTGGATATTGAGTTCTGCACCTTTAAGACTGGTTCTGAGAGGGAAGAAGTGCACAGTTTGTTTTCAGAAACTGCACTCACTCCTCTGCATTCCTGCTCCTGGACTGTGTTGTCTGCAGCACGGATAAACAGTGAGAGAGAGCTCTCCATTGCTCTTTACTTAAGTGAGGTTTTTTTGCTAGCTGAGGCAGAGAAGTTCCCTGGACTGTGGTTTTTCTTTTTCTTGGAACTATTCAAACCTGCTCTGGACTGAAAACCCAGAAAAACACTGGGAGCTGACGCCTGTGGCCCACCATGGCCCAGGACACAGCATTCTCCAGCACAGGAGGGACTGATAAGAGACTGAGCAAGCCAAGTTACAACCCATGACAAGGACTTTCTGAATTTGCCATCTCTTCAGAACAGCAATAAATTTTATTGTTTAATATTATTCATTTTTTATGCTTGTGAATACTTTGCTTGTTAAATAAACACTTTTTTCCACTTTTCTCCAAGGAAATCTTTTCCTAAACCAGCTGGAGGAGGGGCCACTTGAATTTGCTGTCTAGAAGGACCCCATTTGGAGGTTTCCTCCCAAATTTTCCCTAAACCAGGACACCTAGCTTTGGATGTTGGAAATTCGGGGTTTAATTTCCCTTCTGTCCATGGCAATTCAAACCAGTGTTTTCAAAGAGTGACCCAATGGCTAGAACACATGCTGAGGTTGGTTACTTTCCATTTCAGCATACACCATGCGAGTGTAGAGAAAATCCGCAACCCTTCAGGGCAGGAACAGGAAGCCCTAAATAGCAGCAGTATTTTTAGCTATGAAGTCCAAGCCAGTCCATTGACTGCAGGATACCAGGAGCGTCTCTTCCTGCAAGTCTTCTACCTCATGCCTGTGGCATTGAAGCCCTATTGGGATGTGCACAGAGCTTTTCTCATTTATTTGACTTTATGAGATTTGCCCACTTTGGCTCAGATACGGAACAGTTGGATGATACGCAGGAGGCTTTTCAGTACCTTGTGATCTTGTGGATAAAATTCTACTTTCTTCTTCATGACTGGGAAATATGCCAACATATCAAGTTCCTGGATTCCATCTGATTTACACAGCAAAAAAGCAGAGCACAGAAAAGGTTAGATTTTTGTATTGAAGAGGAAAAACCTCCAACATTCTCCTTCTCCAAGTGTATTCCAAGATATGAAGATGTTGGGTCAAAGAGAATGTTTTCACGTCCTTTGATCTCTTTAGAAGAAGGGAGTAACTTCACTGCCCACTTTAGTGACAGGGAGAGAAGAAACACGAAGCAGAGTGACCTGGATTTCCAGAAATCAGCAGGGTCTGAAAATAGTCATCACCTTGAAGAAATGGATTCCTAGGTAGCAAACAGGATTGAATGATAGAACATTTTTGGGAGCTGGAAAACTGGAGATTTATCATATTTAGTCAATGTCCTTGTCTCACTTCCAGTGTTTCAACACTGGCAAAACAGAGATTTATATGTATAGAGAGAGAGACTATGTTGATTTCTGGTGGTAGTGATTATATCCCACAAATATAATTGTTGCTTTGAGAATCCTGTAATTGAAGGAAAGTGGTAGTTTAGAAGATGTTTGACCATAAAGTATCAAAGAGTTCATTCTTTTGCATGTGTTTTAAAATGCACTTTTTTTACCCTGATGGGTGACAGTGCCCTTTAATTTTAAAGAAATACTGACAAGCAGAACCAACTTCACGGCAGCCTACCCTGAAATGTCTCCTTAAAAATAAGAAACACTCTGTTTTTTTATGTACTGTTGGTTGCAGCAAAATTGAAATAATATAAATATGAAGATGATGCACTGGCAGACTTTTTCCTAGTTTTTGTGTTCAAATCATGGTCTTCTCTTTGTTTAACTGTCAACATTTGGTCCAGCTGCGCTCTTACAGAACGTGATAGGAGCTTTGCAATTAGATAACATGGAAGTATTTCCAGCCTCTTCCATATAAAATGGGGATAATGCATGTTGTCTTCAAGTTCTTGGTGTGGGTTGTTGCTGTCTGTCCACCACTTTATTAAACCAGGAATGTTGCTGAAAGAAATGGTCTGGCTCCAGTCCTGGTTGATGCATTTTGTCCCCAGTGTTGACCATCTTTTATATCTCAATGGTGAAGTGGATTAGGGAATTCAGCTAGATAAACAAAAGGCCAACAAAAAAGTTATTTTTAATGTATCAGAGGATTTACCCTTAAGTTGCCAGTATCTTAGACGACCACTGATCTCCTGGAAGAAAAGTGATGCTTCTGGAGGGACTTGGGTACCACTTTGATGAGGGGTTCAGTGCTGAGAACAGGGGTTGGAGAGATTCATAGGCATGAGAGCCCAGTGCACAGCAAAGCCCTCCTGTCATCACAGGATTGCTCTTCTTTCATGTGTGAGGAGCTATTGATAGACATCTTGAGACCATGAGCCTCAGTACTGTGTACCTGGATTGTTTATTATTACTTAGAGTAGCACTGCTTATGGTATGGTAGTTATACTACTGTTTTTTGTGGAACATAAAAAAGGTAACATCTGTGAAGGACTTTAGATACTGCGGTGTTCAGTGGCCCAGCATCTGGGCTAAAGTTAGTGCAGTAGCACTTCAAAGATTTAGAGAGTAGAAGTATCTGCATGGTTTTGAGGTGGATATGCTGTCTGAGGAGAGCATGAGGTCCAGTTGCTACTTCAACCAATGTTCAGGTGAACTGTGTGGATTGCCAGTGGTAAAGAGATGAATTTTCTGGTCTTGGCATTTTACAGTGTCACTGAGTTGAGGGTGGTTACCTCAAGGATGTTAAGGCCAGGTTGAAGCTACTGAAGGCAGGATCTGAATATGATTTTCTGTATGTGTGGGATATGGAGATATAGCTGGATGGCAACGTTACCTTCATCCCAAGGGACAGCCAGTGGTGACTGGCACCTTTGACTCACTAAGGAGAGAATGATTATCCTCAGCATTTCCTGCCTTGAGCACCTGTGTTCTCAGAAACTTATTTTCTGGATCTTGGTTTTGGGTGTCTGATTGTCCCTACACATTGCGTAGCAAGCCTGTGCTTTGTCCAGGGCTGTTCCTGGGAGAACCTAACCTGTTGCCCCACTTTTTGTCATCCAAGGCTTTGTGCTGGGAGTTGGAGAAAACCCATTTTCTCCTAGGATTTGTGCTGCCCAGTAAGCTACATGTCATTTAAACCAAACTGTTCAAAAGAGATCCAGTACTTGCTGGAAATATTAAGTCATATTTGTCAAAAACATAACTGTTATACACTGCCTGTGTTTTCTGTATCATGTGTATTTTTCTCTGTGTTCTTGAGGAATGATACAATATGTTTAGTCTCTGTGCAAAACATCAGAACTGAATAGTCTCATATCCTTTTTTATAACTGTCCTATGCAATTTTATTTTCATGAAGTAATACTCTTTGCTGTTCCACAGAGCAGGAAGGTCATATTTTCTAGAAGTATTGTTCATATTTTACAAAATCCTTCTTCCTGATAAAACTTTCTTCTTCATTTCAAAGTTCCCTCAAAATATTTAGCATTTTATTAATATTTTAATTCTTATATTAGTATGTATTTTTATGTATGAACAGAGCAAATGTGTTTCTAGGTGTTAGAAGATTTCAGATTTTCAGTACATATTAATCATTTTTGAATGAGAAAAAAAAGGGAGTGACAATATTAATCTTTCATTTGCTTCAGCCTGACACAAAGCCTTAATTTGCTGAGGTCATTAGAGACAAAGAATTTGGGTCTGTTTTTCTAAAAATCTTGAAGTTACTAGCTGTCTATAGCTTTCTTAAAAAGATTTTTAGAGTTGGTGTTTGTTCATGTATGCAGTCATGCCCAGAAGAATTACACTCCTTGCTTCCCTTGACGAACAGTCACCAAGACATGTGTCCTTCCAGAGCCTGCTGCACCATCCAAATGGAGCACTGAGGAGAGAGAATATAAAATAGAGATTGCAGTAATATCAACCTACTGAGACCACGACTTCTCTAGTGGAAAATGAAATTTTGCAGATACCTGGCTTTATTTCCAGTTGCATGGTTTCATACCCAAAATTATCCTGTTGCTGGGATATTCCTTAGCTAGGTGGCTGAACCTGCCATTAATTACAAGCAGCTGGAGTCTGCTAGTATGGTCACCTGCCTGCCAACAGCAGTGAGTAATATGTGAAGGTGATTCCTTGGTTTTCCTCTCTAAAGCATTGCCAGGTTAAGGTAATAATCTGAATACTTAAAATTTTGATGCCTCTCACACTAGCTTATTTTTGTAGCTAAAACTCACTTTTGTTGTAGCACTAAATGTCTGTTAAACTCTTAGTGGTACATTCTAATGAAATCAAACTTCTGTGGAATGGTTTCTTTAAGGTTTTGAAGTGTAGTTTCATCTTAAGAAAGCCATGAGCCTGGGCACACTGATGCTGGGAGACATTACCTTCCTATTTTTTTGTTTGTTTGTTTATTGTGGTTTTAAATACAAGTCTTTGAAATCTTCTAAACAATTCTTATTTCACACACAAAAAAAATCAACAACCAACCAACAGGAAAAGGACTTTTTCAAGGAGAATAATTTTATTCTTAAAAACATGACAGTTTCACTTTATTCTGACAAATCCTTGCTAGAGGATTTGTTATTAGTTTCAGTTTCCATTGATGTATTTTGTGACTATTAAGTGAAATGTCCAACACAAAAATTTTGGAATCCATTACTTCTTCTATATTTAGAAGCAAAATCCTTAGCAAAGTACTTTAGAAGTAAAGTACTGCATGTTGTTAAGCAGTCTTTACTTATCTCTGTAACCAGTCAACAAAATTGAATTTCCAGCACTGTAGTAATTTTAATGAATTACTTCTCAAATGCTGTGAAATACAGTTCCTCAATTAATGTCCTTAAAAGTTAGAAGGATTCTCTGGCTTATCTATAACATGCTTTGTTTTTTCAAGTAAGATAATACAGCAATTTAAAACTATTTCAACTATTCAAAACAAAGATCTGGGTGGGATCTAACTTACCATGTGTGAATAGTCCTGCACAGGAACCTGCCTGTGTTTTCTGTATCATGAACTGGAAAATGTGGATTCCTGGAAAAACTCCCAGAAAGAAATCCAATAGAACTGTTATATTCTCCTGACTTAAATATGAAGATGATATTATTATTTTTATTAAGCACATTGCAAAATTTGTTGACACTACAGAGTTTTAATTTAATTTAATTTATGGATTAAAAAATTTTACAGGAGTTACAGTCTAAAAATATGGGCTTCCAGCTGTCTTATGTTAAGCTAAGTTGTTTAGCAACGTATCAAAACATTTCCACAAAATGATTACTGTATTTTTTAATTAATCCCATAGGTAGTTTTTGCAAATGGTTTTGTACTATAAATGATTACAATAAGGCATTAAACCATATGTAGTGAGCAAAATTCCCCCCATGTATTATTCTTACCCTTCAAGTTACATTTTAATACTACTGATAGGATGCCTTACAGAGGGGTGTGTACTTGATCAGGGTTCTATTTAGTATTGATTCCTGAGGAAGCATTTCACATAGTCTTCCTTTCTCAGGAAAAAAGCTAATGCTGATTTCCTGAGTTCTGCACAGTCCATGCTTTTCTGTCTGTTAGAAGTGGCCAAAGGAGAGGTATAGGAAAGCATTGCTAAAACCACTGTAATGCTTTCTTTCAGGAATTACAGCAGAAGTCATAGTTGTAGCCTCATTTGATGAACTGCACAAACGAGCTCAGGAGGCCAAGGGGAAGATTGTCGTCTACAATGAACCTTTCATCAGTTATGGTGAAACTGTGCACTACAGGTTACAGGGAGCAGTGGAAGCTGCTAAAGTTGGAGCAGTGGCATCCCTCATTAGGTCTATTGCTTCTTTTTCTATTCACAGGTAAGCGTTTTTCTCTTTTCTTCCTTCAATTCACATTTCAATGTTAGCTGACATGAGATTTCTGGGCAGGAATTTTTGTTCTCCATGACTTAAACAATGCCAGTTATGAGTGGGTGTTTGGTTTTGAAACTATTGGCTTCACAATAGCTCTTTTCCCCTGTGCTTTGTCATTCTTTCAGAATGTTTTCTTTTTTCTTTTTTTTTGTTCTTGATCCAAGTTTTGTATAATATTTGTTTTAAAGAACTTTCTACATGTTCAAGGCTGCCATAAATATTCTGAGAAGAACCAAAACCAAATGTCTCTGGTGACAACAGGCTATCAGTGAACTTTTGTGTATTTGACTAGAATATACATGTACAGTTCTCAACATATTGTTAATTTTCCTAGCATAAGGCTGACTTGTACTAGATGAAGGATTAGTCTGCTTTGAACATAATTTAGAACACTTTAGCATCAGGGTTTGTAATTCTCACACTGCTTTTTAAGCAAGGTATGTGGAAATAAAGATTTTTTTTAAATGTAAATATATTTTAATTTCTTAGTACATTATTTGTTTATCACTGTAGTGTTATGTTACTGAAATGATATATTTTCGTTTTCTGGTTGGTAACAGAATTCCTTTTTTATCTGGGAGTTGTTTCTAACTCTGAAAGCCTACACTTAAAATGCTCTTTTTCGCTTATCTATTGTGAAAAAGACTAGTTGAGGCATAGAGAGGAAATGGAGAAGGGTTCAGCAGTATAGTGGAAGGCTGACAGATGCACACTGTCCTTTAACACAGTATTTCTAAAATCTTAAACTGTTATCAGTGACCTTAATGTCTGCAGTGATCTTTGTGTAGGAGCCTGCTGGCTGTGATGGGAGCTCTGGTCAGGCAGGCCCAGGCAGCAGAGCTGGACTGAGGACTGGATCAGGACAGACCCATCTTCCTGCCCAGCATCCTGTGCCTGAGCTGCAGCCTGAGCAGGACTGGCAGGGCATAAGTGATGCCAGGCACAAAGCTTGACTGCTTGAACTGTAGAGCTCTGTTAATAAAATCATCTACATAAGACAATATGAAAGCTATCCAGTTTATACGAGAGAGGTGCTATATTTTTTAACACTCTTTCTTTGGCAAGTGCATGTTTAGAGCAATAAAATTGTTTATTCCTCCCCCTAGTTGCCCGCCCAGTAACTCTTTACCCACAGAGTCATTGGCAGTAGCTAACCTGTCCCTGAATGTGTGCCACAACATAACCTGGACTTGTGTTCTGTTTAGGTAACACCATGGCTTCTTTTTGATCTCTGCTCCTAGGTTTTCTTTCTCAGAAGTCTGGGCTGGTAGGTGGAAAGCATTATAAAGCTTTGGGTCTTTCTTGAGGCTGGAACTGGGAAGTGATTTGGAGGCATTTGGAGGCATGCTTGAATCCACTTCTTCAGAGAGAACATGAGCGGTCACATGTCAGCAATATGAGAAGTGTGCAAGCTTCTCCATCTGTAATGTTTCAGAGAGTCAGAAAAGTCAGCGAAGCAGACTAACTGTATTGGAACACATGCAGAGAACAGTTCTGCTGCCTCTGTAGTTGCTTGGTAGCATTTTTATATGCTTGTCCTGGTTTCAGCTGGGATAGAGTTCATTTTCTTCTTAGCAGCTGGTACAGTGCTCTGGTTTGGATTCAGCATGAGAAAAACATTGATAACACACTGATGTTTTGGTTGTTGCTAAGCAGTGTTTACCCTAAGTCGAGGATTTCCAGTGTCTCATGCTCTGTGAATGAGGAGCTGCACAAGAAGCTGTGACAGATCACAGCTAGGACAACTGACCTACACTGACCAAAGGGATATTCCACACCACAGGATGTCATGTTCAAGTATAAAAATGTGGGGGGGAGGGAGGAGGAGAGCTTGGTCAGAAGGGACCAACCACGTCTTGGGAATAGGCTGGGTATCGGTCAGAGGGTGGTGAGCAATTGCATTATGCATCACTTGTTCTTCTTGGATTTACTTATTTGCTGTTGTTAGGGGTTTTTTTGTAATTAAAATCACATTTTTTATTATAATATTTCACTCTGATTTTTTCCATACTGTTTAACTGTTCTTAACAGTCCTCAACCCATGAATTTTTATATTTCTTTTTCTGAGTTTTCTTCCCATCACACTCAGGGAAATAATGAGCGAACAACTGCATGGTACTTAGTTGCCAGCTGGGGTTGAACCATGGAAATGCTTCACATTCCCCTAAAGAAATCAAAACTACCTGTTAAAAATGCTTTCTGAAATATGAAGAACTAGAATTCAGATACTATCCAAACTATTACTAGTGTATTTGTGTTCAGCAAATGTAATGTTTACAATGTAATTTCTAATACTTGGAATTTTCTAATAAAGCTCATAATAATTAGAACAGATAGTGGAATGTGTTTCAGAAACAGTTTTACAAAAAAAAATATATGGTTTTGAAATGGCCTTAGCTGGTATAATCAAAGAATATTGTAATCTCTAATGTGTTGATTTTCTGAAACACAGATGATCTGTGTCCCGTCTGTAGTTACGGTGCTATGCAGAATTGTTCAGTTGAAAGTTACTGTATATTCTGTTTGCCACCGTATTTGTGGAAGTGCATTTAGTATGGAATGAAAAGCATAGAGGTGAGGAACAGACGTGGAGATTGAAGGAACTGGCATTACAGCTATTTGAAAACTGAATGGAAGTAGATGCCAAATGCATCTTTATTTAGAAGTATTGAATCCTTAATTGATACTGGGAGCAGAGGTGTCATTCCCAAAGTAATTTCAAATGTAGATGCTGCCACAAAGCATTTTTTTACAGTGTACTTTCTGTACTCTCTTCATTTACCTCCACTTAAGGTGTTTTTTTTTTGTATGGAATGTATTGGTTAATGTATTTTTTCCTATAATACAGAAGGTACTCAGGTCCAGTCTCTCCCTTTGATTACTCAGTGATGACTAGATCAATTTCTCTCATTTTTAACAAATAGGTATTGCTGTAGACAGGATGGATTTTCTTGTCTCCATGCATTCTCCTATGTTTTCTTCTAATCATCAGTGGAGTGTCTCCTTGTCTATCCTAGCAGTGTGGTGTGCTGGATGGACTATGTGCTGGATGTGGTGCTTCTTGCCTGTCTGTATCTGGGGCACTCTTTGTTCAAGTCACTTGCCATTTTAATTGACTGGTGGGAAATACTGCCTTGCTGCAGGGAGTATTGTGTTAGAAGGGTGAGAGATGAAAGGTAAAAAGCTAATAAAAAGTTTCTAAATGCTGTGAAAGTAAATCTTGCATTCTTGCAGTTTGTATGCTGCTGCATTGTTAACCAGAGCCTTTACTTCTTTAGTCTGTGTGTTTACATGTTCACTGGTAATACGAATAAGTGATAATGGGATTGTGGAGTTTTCCAAAATATCCTAGAAACATCTTAGAAGAAAGTATCCTCCTTCTCACACTGCACTATCCCAGTTTCAGGTAAATGAAAGGTGTAATTTCACAATTTTTCCTAAGCTATTATCAAGTTTGGTGGATGGGGTTTTTTGTTTAATTTCTTTATTTAAGGAGTTTTGTTTGTTTGTTTGTTTGTTTGTTTTTCAAAATTTTCAACCCCCTTCAACAGTTTGCTGGAACAATTGCAAATCAACTTTGTGGTGTGACTTCTAAGTGATCTTGCAATATGAGTAATATTGATAGGTTAAAACTAGGTCATGTCATTAACATCCTAGGCTTATTAGGGCTCATTATTAAAGATTACTTACAAGGAGGAATTGGTGAAATCACAACATGAGTTAAATCACTGTTCTTTTGCTGGTAACTTGTTCCAGAAATGTTACTTGTTCCAGAAATGGCAAGTGGCTGCTACATTGTCAAGTCAAAAGTATAAAGGGAATCTTTGACCCGGGGACAGTTTATTTTGCTTTAAGGTGTGGTAGTATAACTGTGGAGTAATGAAACACCCTGGACACTCAAGCATCCCAATTCTTAATAAGGGCAGGAAGAGATGAATGTCATTATACTCAGGAAAACTTATTGATGTGTTTGTACAAGGAGTCATGACACTCACTGGTGGCAGTATTTGCTGTTGAGATCCAAGGAATTTATTAATTCATTTTGAACAACACTGCCAAGTGAATAAGAAATAAAATTAGCAACCATGTCTTCCTTGACCTATGAAGAGATGACAGTAGTTACATGGTATTGCAATGTTATGTGGCTTTTGTGTCTCTTGGCATTGTCTGCCTCTTGTGTTAGATGATTGTCTTGGGTTTTTTATTTCTCTTCTATTTATTGATAGCATGCAAGAATGTTTTTTTTTTAATGTAGGAGAAGGTAACTATAATTAATAGGTAATTGGTATAAGGGACACTCTCCACTAGACCAAGTTGCCCAAAGCCACATCCAACCTGGCCTTGCACACTGCCAGGGATGGGGCATTCACAGCTTTTATGGGCAACCTGTTTCAGTGCCTCAGCACCATCACAGTGGAGGATTTGTTCCTAATATCTAAACCTATTCTCTTAATTTTTTTTTTTGCAGAAAATACTTGGTGAAATGCCAGTGTCCATAAAGGAGGCAGAGGAGTCCTGCAACTTTAATCTAATAAAGGGAGAGAGTCCACTAGACCATTCCCCCATGGGGTGTCTCTTGAGATTTTGGAGGACACAGCCTCCTTTTATCCTAAACTCCCAACCACCTGTTGCCCTCTTCCTTTCCACACTGATGAAGGTACAGCCTATCCAAACCACCCTACCACATATTCGCCAAAAAACATGTATCGTTATTTTCCCCTAAAGGTTGGAAGGATGTCTGGATTTTGCAGATCCATCAGAAGTTCAGACCATCTGGGCTCTGTAGTGGATTTGTGTGGGCTCATTTCTCCTATTACTCTAAAGTTTATTATCTGGGTTCTGTAACCAGCTTGGTGGCTTAATTTTCATAGAGAAATTAAGACCCATTTCTAAGACATTAACACCCATTTCTCCTAGAGATCAACACAGCCATTCTGGTTGCTCCT